GGTATGTGGAATTAAGTTACAGCTTCCCTGAGTCTGAACACTGGTATTAAAGATTATCAGGTGGAGGGACCGTTGAAAATAAGACAAATAGGATAATCTCCCACCCGATACCCTCACTGAGTATGGAACAAGAGAAAAAATTCCAACTCTCAGATTCTCATTGGGAAGGGAAAAAGTTGGAACATATGTCTAGCATGTTATTTTTCAGAGAGCTACTCAAGGTAGTCGCTCAAATACCATCACTCTCAAAACCCTGACAGGACTGGGCATGCTCAACATGTCTGAAGGCAGCTGAGAATAAAGCAGATTGCCATGACTTGAAATGTAGTAGAACAGAGTTTAATACAACTTAGTGACTTCTATTTTAGGAATAAAATAGGGTAAGTGTTCGACATGTCATTTTTTAAGGCTACTTTCCACAGAAATGATTTGTTTTGTCAGTAAAAGCATCAATGAAGCTCACATTTTTGAATAGATTTTAAATTATAATACATCACTTTCCTCCTTCCTGTTCCTCCCATAAGCTCCTCCCATGTACTCCAACCCCTCCCAGGACGCGCACTTTCAAATATTATGCAAAGAATGAGAGCCCTTGGAACTCTCAGCCCTGAACAGGGTGCCTCCAACAAACCCCTCCTCTTAGAGCTCATGGAACCCTGTGGAATAGGAGGCAGGAAGAGTTTCAAATCCAGAGGGGATGGAGGCCATTGTGACACAAGACCTTCTAAACACAGTGGGCCTTATGCACAGATGAACCTACAGAGACAGAGGCAGCATGCTTTTATTTTGCCCATTGTATCATTTTAGCATCTTTTCTTGAATGTCAAATGGCTGTAGCTATGTGCACTTGTGTTCAGATCTTTATTTTGTTCCAATAGTATGCATATCCGTTTTGTGACACAACCATGTTATTCTTATCTTGGCTCTGATGCTGACATCTTGAGATCTAGAGTGGCAATCTCCCTGAATTGCTCATGACTGTTCTGGCTCCCATTCTATTTGTAAGACTTTCCCTTGAGTGTCCTCGTTGTGCTGTTCACTTTTTAAATCCCATCTCCATTTTATGTTGAGTGCTCTTCAATCTTTTTATCTCCTTATTGAGCTGCATTTTCTAATCCGGCATTATCTTGGTTATTTTATTCAGCCTTGTGTTTGTCTTTTCTTGGGTAACACTTACGCCTTTATTTCTTTGAGTTAATTCTCTCTAAATTTTTACACTGAACTGTTTGTTTCTGTTTTCCTTAAACTCTGAATTCTTTGATAATATTTATGGTGTTTTTTTAAAGTTCTGTATCCTGGAATTAATCTGAGTAATTGTTCTTACATACAATTTATGTAGGACAGGTGGATTGGGGGGGGGTGAGGGGGAATGGACAGTGTATACTGTCTTTGAACTTTCATATTATTTTGCAGTGAGACCCGGGCACATGGGCTTCTTGTTTTGGTTGTATGTTTGATGTGGACACAGAAGGCTTGGCTAGTACACAGGATTTGCTACTCAGTACAAGCTGGCAGTTAAAAATAATGTGCAGGTGGGTCACACCAACCTGTGCCCAGACCCTGGTTGTGGGCTCTAGGTTGAGCCTGGAAATTGAGAAGAGTTCAGGCACAGGAGGGCCAGGCATACTCAGAAGGCTGGACCATAACACAGGATGTATGGGTCTGTCTGGCCCTGAAGTATGGTTCAGGACCAAATATCCATAGGGGCAACTGGAATTGAAAGGGGTTAAGCCAGCAAGTATAGGTATGTTACCCGTGTTTCTATAGCACACAGACAGGCTAGAGGGTCCCTGGCAGGGAATGTCTGGGGGATGGTGGGTCCTAAAAGGAGGAAGAGGGTCAGGAGGAAGTCCTGATCCTTGGCAAGCAGCTGCAGGGCTACCTGAGTTGGGAGGCTCTGTACCAGCGAGTAAAGATAGGTTACCCATGTCTTCCCTCTGTATGGGCTAGATAGAGAGTTCCTTGCAGCGAGGGTTTCAGTGTCTTGTAGGTCCAAGGAGAAAGAAGGGTCAAGAGAAGGTCACAACCCCAGAAAAGCATCCACAATTTGACCAGGCAAGGACTGTGCTTGGGTGCACAGGCAGGTTACCTGTATCTCTGCCCTATGTGGACTGACTGGTAGGTCCCTAGCAGTGAGAATTTCACCATGTCATGAGTCTCAAAGTGAAGAGAGGATCTGGAGGATGATGATCTTGTTGTTCTCCTTAGTTAATTGAAGGCTTTTCTTTGCTACTTAATAGGCCATTATTCATATTCTACTTACAAAATGGCATATGCTAATGAAGCTCTTCCAATCTCAGTAACCAGCATTATGCCTTACAGCACACATGTAGTACTGGTAAGTTCTTTGTTCCAATGTCTGGAGCGCTGGGGTGAAGGAGATAATCATGGCTGAACTATAGGGCAGAGTTGGGGAGTACACAATCATTTGTTGATTGCTCATCATGGGCCACGGAGCTTGGGAACTTTACATGCATTAACTCACTTAATTCCTACCACATGGCATGGGAGGTAGGTGGTATTATTTCCCTGTTAGTACTGAGGAAGTCAAAGCTGAGAGTACGAAGGAATCACATAATGTCACTTTCTTGATATTTAAAAATTGAAAAATCTCTTTTCAGCAGAGGGTGAAAGATTTGACTCATGCCAGCATCTCAGCTGTGTGTTGAACTTTACCAAAACCCCTGGATTCATCTAGGCCCATCCCCCTCTTTCGGATCCAGCCCTGCTAATCTGTCTTCAGTTATTCCTTTCATGGGTTGTGTCTTTCTGCTCTGGGGCCTTTGTTCATGCCAGCCTCACTTCCTGAACTGCTTTCCCTTGTCGCTCTTGACTGAGGAGGACAAGTGTTCAATAAATATTTGTGTATGTGTGTGCATTTGCTTCTTAGTGCATACTTATTAAATATAGTTAAATGTAAACTTAAATGTTAATATTATTCAAAGGCAAATATCTAGTAAAGTGCAGAACCAGCACATATACCCAAGTATGAGTTTAAAGTACATGTTCTTTCATGATGTGTCTCTGCTCATACAAATGGGTTCTTGACCTAATACTCACTCCGCTGGCTACATGAATCAACATATGATACTACTCTAATTATCAGTTTCCCATCTCTACAACTGGGATAGAAGCAGGCAGAGTCCAGATGTTCTGTATATAATATAGAAGAGGTTGAGAATAGAGGTCTAGGCAGGAAGGGGTCTAAATGAATATTTTTTCAATAAAACCAAGTATTGTTCCTCTATAAGAAAGGTCAATAGCTACATCAAGAGTTCTTCATACGCCTGACAACTTGACTCAAAGGTAATGTAGTGTAGTGTGTAACATGCAAGTATTGCAGTTACTTTTGCACCACTGTGCCAATGTTCCTGACATAAGCAGTGCAAGGGGCAATTTTTATATGAGCCAGCCATGCTATATGGTATGAGCACCATCAGCCACACGTTTAAAGATAAATTCATTAAAATCAAATATAATTTATAAATCAGTCCCTTAGTCATAGTAGCCACATTTCATGTGCCCAACAGGATATGTGTGCTATTGCTTTGGAAAGCACACACACAGAGCATTCTGGTCGGTGCAGAAAGTTCATTGGACATTGCCTCTTTAGAATTTCTCAGGTCACTGTTGCTAGCTCTGGCTACCTTTGCTAGGAGTGCTTTGTGGTGGGAGACTCTTATTTGCAATGAGAGGCATCTCTGGCCCATATCCACTAAAAACCATTAGTGTTCTCCTTTAACTCAGTCCCGCAGCTGGAACCTGCACTGCCCTTTGCAAACATCCCGAGGCAATAAAATTTATCTCACTTGCAACTCACGGAGTTTTTCTGTTTAAAAAGAATCTCCTAGCTTGATGTGGGATTCCCCTCTTTATGCTGTGAATGCCATTGCTTAATAAAGAAACTGGCTTTGCCTGATAGGGTAGAACAGAGCTAGGCAGGGAAAACTAAACTGAACGCTAGGGGAAGGAAGGCAGAGTCGGAGGAGAAGCAATGGAGCCGCAGCTGAAGACATGCACAGAACCTTTGCTGGTAGGCCACAACCTCATTGTGGTGCACAGATTAATAGAGATGAGTTAAATTAAGATGTAAGAGTTAGCCAATAAGAAGCTAGAGCTAAAGTTTCTAATTATTCACCTGCCCCAATAACCATCGGTTACTTCCCTGATGAAAGGTCTTGGAGATTATTCCCAGATGGTAAATTTTAATGAGAACTGAGTTCTCCTAGTTGGTTTAAATTGGCATTCGTTTAGAGTACCTTTATGCGATAACTCGTTTGAGCTCCAGATTAGCCACAAGTGTGTTCTTTCATGTCCTCGATTTATAAATGAGAAAGATGGGGCACAGGTTGATTAGACAAACTGCCCAAGATATCATGAGCAGGAGGGAGGCATATTTACATCCCATGTAAAGGATAATTAACATCCCCTGAGCCCAGTAGTCAAGTGGTAGGATCTGAGATACTAGAGAGGAATTTCCGGTTTCCATCTTGGAGAGTGTGCCCTATGTCAACAATAGCAATGTGTTTTAACTTTCAAATACCAAAGAGGAAAAAGAGTTCAACACCACCAGTAATTTAGATAACTATAACACAAAGATTTAATACTATAAATTATTACTGTGATTTTTATATTGTTATTTTTCTTATTCAGTAACCACAAAACAAGCATTCTTTGATTAAGTCCAAACATTGGCAAGCATCTGCTAAATAAAGAATTTTTCATATATCAGTGAAAAAAAAGAAACTAGAGCTAATGGGCCAAGCAGAGATTTAAATAATACAGTTTTTGTGTGATTATTTCAGGGCTGAGCAGCCAGGAACCAACAAGTGACTTCCCTATAACACTAACTCTTTCTGAGATGGCTCTGATCTTCTCTTGTCTGTGAAAGCGAGGGTTAGAAAGATAGCTTAGAAGGAAAGGCCTAACTCTGCTTTCCATTTCTGTCTTCCTCCATCCTCCTACTGGCCTGTTTCCTGCTCTTGAGAAATTTCAGGAACAAGACTCTGCAGATGGAAAAGATCAAGGCCCGTTTGAAGGCTGAGTTTGAGGCACTGGAGTCAGAAGAGAGGCACCTGAAGGAATACAAACAGGAGATGGATCTCCTGCTGCAGGAGAAGATGGCGCACGTGGAGGAACTCCGACTGATCCATGCTGATATCAATGTGGTACGTGGCTGGCTGGCTGCCTGTCTCTGGGCTCGTTAAGGATGAGCAAATAGAGGATGTTGTTACCTTTCATTTAGATGTCACTGTGGCTACTTAGCTCAGAGGAGAGGGCTATGGAGTAGAAAATTCCAGAAGTTCTGAGGCCAGCTCTGATTATGTCACTGACTAACAACAATGGACAAGTCCTTTATTTCTGAGCATCGTATTTTCTCCCTGTATTATGAAAGGCCAACTGACCTTCGAGGGCTCAGTCCGTTCTGACATGTTCACATTCTGGAATTCTGCAGCTCAGGAAGTAGCCAAGGAAAAGTGGACTAGATGCCTGCCCCTTGAGGGTAGCAGAAAATGCTCAAAAGCTCCCAATAAGACCAAATCCATCCTCTCTTTCTGCTTACCAAAGTGGGGCTCTCTCATTTGACGGCCATTTGGAAACTTTTAGAATACTGTGACTAAATTGCCAAGCTGACAAGTTCCCTTGTTTGGAGTTACTCGCTAATAGTCTAGGCTTCTTTACTGGGTATTCCTTTATCAGGAAGTGGAAAGGGTTCACCTGTGAGATCCTTTCCACTCCTTAGAGCCTATGACATCTTTTTCTAAAATTCGTTTTTGATGGAGCTAAGTTTCTCTTCTTGGCAAACTCATTTCTGGGGGATTACTACTTTTCAGAATGTTGTCAGGCCTAGAATCCTTAAAAATACATAAATGAGGCTGTGTAAGATCCTTGGGGTCTTATGTGTTAGAGAGCATAAGATTCTGGGTCTCCTGGAGGGAACTGATGATGTAGAATCAATAGAAAGAATCACATTTTTTTTTTCGATAGAGGGGTTGAGAATCCAGGCCGGTAGATCTCAGACTAGAGCATGAGGGTCAGCTGGAGGGCCCATTAGAGCCCAAGTTGTTGAACTTTACTCCAGAGTTTCTAGTTGCATATGTTAGGTAAGGGATTGAGAATATGCAATTCTTAGTTCCTAAATGCTAATGCTGCCGCTGCAGCTGCCTGCAGGGCGTGTGGATGGGGTGGTGGGTGGAAGTGTGGCGACCAGTTTGAAAACAGTTGACCTAGGAAAAATGTAACTGGCTTGGAAGACGTTAAGTCTTCCGTTTCTGTGTTGGTTTTGTTCATAAGGATCTCCGTGAAAGCTGAAGCTTCTTTCAGCTCACTGACCTCTACAGTAGACTGCAATCCAGGTGAGGTGAGCTAGATGATCTTTAAAGGCAACTGCAGTGTGGAGGTGTTAGTAATTTGAGTAATTTGACCACGAGTTTATGAGCTGTTACTCCGTTCACATGAATTCAATCATCGAACCTTTACTAAGACTGCATGGGGTGTGCACTATTAAACTTTCACTATCATAGTGATGAAGAAACCGAGGCGTGATCCGCCATGCAGAAAAGACATAGTAAACTTGAACATAGATTGGTTTCCCTCTGGAGTCTGTGCTATTATGTGTTCAGTTCTAAAACGTCTTTGAGAACTTTGGGATCTTTTCTGTTTCTACCCTGCTCTATTTTCCAGATGGAAAACACCATTAAACAGTCTGAAAATGACTTAAACAAGTTGCTAGAGTCCACCCGGAGGCTTCATGATGAGTATAAGCCGCTGAAGGAGCATGTGGATGCCCTGCGCATGACATTGGGATTGCAGAGGCTTCCTGACTTGTGTGAAGAGGAAGAGAAACTCTCATTGGAGTAAGCTGCCTGCCCTCTGACCCCAAAATAACACAATGTAACAGAAGGGAGGGGAGAGGGGGAGGCCACACAGATGGACATGGATATTTACATGGCTCGAAAGTCCGAGTATATAGTCTAGTCCTATTCTTAGGCCTGCTGGTGACTAATTCTTTGCATGACCTTCTTCAAGTCTCTGCTGACATAAAGAGCAATGAGGAGATGAAGTTTAATGGGTGACTCTTTAAAAATGCTTTGTGCAGTTTTTGACAATGTAATAATTTTACCTATGCACTGGCATGATAGCTCAAGGAGTAAAATGGCTTTCCACCAGCCCTGGGGACCTGAGTTCAGTTCCTGGGACCCATGCGGTGAAAGGAAAGGATGAACGCCTGCAGGCTGCCCTATGACTTGTGTCCTATGACATGGTAGCGTCATGTGCCTGCCTGTACATACACATGCACAAATAAATAAATTTAATATAACATTTAAAATAACTTACCTATGAATTTTAAAATGTCACTTTCCAAGTTAAGGTCTAGAGGAGTATACAAAAAGGATGTGCTTCCATTTTTTCCAGGATATGGCCTGTTCTTTAATCTCAAGACCCAGAGTTAAAAACTAGGCTCATTTTAAAGACAGAGTTCAGCCCAATAGGAGGGAGTATATCCTAAAGTTACAACTGGATTCCTGTAGAAGCAGTGAGCTTCCTATTCCTAGAAGGATATAAATCTAGGCTTGGGAATGCTTGGTCTTAATATTGCAAGTGACCATCAAATAGACAATGGGTCTAAATATCTTGCTAGCCCTAAGATTTCTTGATCATCTGCATCTATCAGAGTTAAGAAGAAAAGTGTCTATTTTCCTACTGATCATGTGCCTAGTACTAGGGGGAAGGACCCATGTGCTATAGGGAGGGTAGTGCCATTCTAGAGAAGATCCTAGTACAATTTTTGGTTCCTTAGCATAGAGGGGCAAGGTTCTTCTTGCTTTCAGAGTGATCCAGCCAGTGTCTTTTCATCCCCAAAGTTACTTTGAGAAGCAGAAAGCGGAATGGCAGACAGAGCCTCAAGAACCTCCCATACCTGAATCCCTCGCTGCTGCAGCTGCTGCTGCCCAACAGCTCCAAGTGGCTAGGAAGCAGGACACACAGCAGACAGCCACCTTCAGACAGCAGCCTCCGCCTATGAAGGTGGGTAAGCTAGACTGGACCACAGAGGAAGCAAAGTGTCCTGCAATGGGAGGCTGACGAGATGCCGCTTGAGGTTGTGGTCTGATTTATTTTAGATCTTACTTAAACAATGTTTGATTGGTACACAGAGGATGGGATGCTATGTTAAATCCATGTTGCTGCATGGAGAGATTAGAGTACAAGAAGCCTGGCAGGCCCTAGTAAAATAGAAATTTCTAAAGGTTAGAAAGGAAATTCTTATACAAATACATAGTGAACATATCTCATTAGTGAGGGATTCAGTAGGATCACAAGGCAGGTTCTTAGTGCATTTGGCGAACAGATGTTTACATGGTTGGAAAGAACACTGAAATAAATTTGGAAGTTTTATGTCTTCTAGAGACATAAACGTAATACCTTTAGGATTACCTTTCCTTCCCACTAAAATTAATTTGCATTTCTACTAGGTCAAAACTGTTTATGGGTTTCCAGTGAAGCATCACAGAATTGGGTCAATAGTAACTAGTCAAGCAGACGTTTTACTAGAGTGGCTTCCCAGTAGACCATAGCCTACAGGTAGAGTCTGCCTTGTTATATGCTTTCATTGGCAATTTACTGGTGCACACACATGCCAGGTGATTTGTGTGTTGTATTTTTTTTTTTGGTTTGGTTTGAGACAGGGTTTCTCTGCATAGCTCTGTCTGTCCTGCAATTCACGCTGTAGACCAAGCTGACTTGGAACTCAGAGATCTGCCTGCCTCAGCCTCCTGAGTGCTGGGATTAAAGGCGTGCGCCACTACGTCCAGCTTGTGTGTTAGATCTTAACAGAGTTGAATAATTGCAACAAACCACTTAATGTGAAAAGTCTAATATATTTATGGGCCACCCCATGACTCAGGATGTAGAAATACCATGTGAATGTTATGAACTGAGTTTGATCCCAGCATCCCATGGTAGAAGGAAAGAACCAATTCCCAAAAGCTGTTCTAGGAGAGAACTGCAAAGTTGTCCTCAGACCTCCACACATGTTCTGTGGTACATGCACACACATCTCTTCATTTCGTCTCTCTCTCTCTCTCTCTCTCTCTCTCTCTCTCTCTCACACACACACACACACACACACACACATACACACACACACACACACACAAACACCACCCAATTTTAATTAAAAATACCCTTTAAAGTCTAAATATTCACTACCTTGGTCACTATAGAAAAATGCTTGCTAATCCATCTCGTCCAAGACAAATCGATAGTACATGGGAGAGCTGGTTAGAGATAATGTTCTGATATATTGCTGCATAAATATAAGGTTCTTATTTTATTTCCAAGTTTTACATGCAGGTTTTATACACCTCTCTCTATGTTATATCTTTCGCTCCTATGTTCTGTGGTCTCCAAGAACACTGGTACCTACCTGAATCTTACTGATAACTGTTCCTTCCAAATGGAAAATTGTAATTATTTTCTGGGCCCCTGAGTAGCTGCAGTCTGAACCATTGCTTAGAATAATCTGACTACACTAACTTTATTTATTCTGTCTACCCCCTTCAGGCCTGCTTGTCATGTCATCAACAGATTCATCGAAATGCACCTATATGTCCTCTTTGCAAAGCCAAGAGTCGGTCACGGAACCCCAAAAAGCCAAAACGGAAGCAAGATGAATGAAGAGAAGGTGAAGGGCTAGACCTTTGTTGATCATAAATCCTCCCATTGGCCAGAGTGATAGATGTCCTGATTTTCTAAAAAATACCCCTTCCTTCTCCTCTTGAGTCTTCTATTTAATTTTCTGGAAGAAGAACACCTCTCTCTCTTTGCTCTTCTTTCTTTCTGCTCTTGGGATATCAGGTTCAAGAACAGCTGTGGTTTGGGTGCTAATGACTGGGTCTCATGACCCCTTCTCTCCCTCTCACATCTCAACTACTGTGCTGGTTTGGAGGTGACTGAGGGGTAAAGGCCCTGATGGACTCTTTCTCTTGCTCCCAAGGACTGGAGCCTATTGGGCTGCAGGGTGTACGGACTGGAGGAGGTCCATATCTTACTTTAAGAAAAGGCCTCAATGATGTCCTTCCCTCTCTTTTTGCCTTAGGTTCTGAAAGGACAACTACTTTATTTTTGCCAGACTTCCCAATGGGCTGAATCTGTGTATCTCCCCAGTATTTAGTTCACCATTAGAGCTCAGGAGTAACTTAGACAGGTGTTCTTTCTTATAGTAATGTGTGAGGCTCTGTGTTTTGCCATGGTTCCATCCAAGTCTTCCAAGTATACTCAAGTTTTTACATACCAGACTGGGCATCTGGAGATCCCAAGATCTGTAGGTCTTTCCCTCTATACTTTTTTTGTTCTTTGCAAATCAGTAGGCATTCGCTGCAGTGAAATTAGGGAGTCAGACCCATGCTACAAGCCTCACCCTGTTCACTGCTGAAAATAGGAGGTCTGATGGCTATGGTATAGGAATTGTCTTGGATTGAGAATCCAGGAGCTGACTTTAGCTTTGTATTTTGTTTAAAAAACATCACTGTAATACCTGCCCAATTACCATCACTATCACTGGGAGGATAAAAGTGAATATGGTATTATATGAATGCCAATCATTTTATACATGTAAGTGGGTATGACTTTGTTTTCCATTCTTCCCTCCCTTTGAGTCTGTCTTCTCTAAGGTAGCCTTGGTTAAGGAAGTTATTGGTTATTCTTTTCCTGTGGGTTGTGTAGGTGACCTTTCTCCCCCAACCAAGGGCACTAAGTTCTTCAAGCCCCACAGCTGACGTCTTTATCAAAGCTAAGCCTCCTAGTCATGTTACTCTTAGACCTATGGAATAAAATCAGGGCTGACTGACTAAAAAGATATAGCTCCAGGTCTTTATCCCTGGCTGGGAGAAAAGGGAGATGTTTATCAATTTTTGTTTCTTTTTTTTAACTTTTGACTTTGAGTCACAATAATATGTGTTCCAAACATCAAAGATGCCTCTGTCTTTTTAAAGTAAGTGTTATGATTTTATAAATCCTTTTAAATAAACATTCATTTGTTGGAATAAATGCTAATTGGGTGCATTCTGTACACTGGGCGACAACAATAACAGTAGAAAGGGGAAAATAAAAAAGATTGAGAAGGCTACAGAGATGTGGCCGGGAGCTGGGAGCACTGTGGTTGGAGATAGACAGAGAGATGGCTGGAGCAATGCTGCCTGCTGTGACGATACTGGAAGTGTAGGCCAAGAACAGGACCCCAATACTGAGACTCACTGTGATTTTCTTAGAATAGGGGGAGGATTGTGCCCATGCCACTACCTAAGTGAGTGAAAACATAGGAGCATGGTACTAGCAGACCAAAGCCATTATTTCAGGACAGGAACTATGGTTCTTCTAGTCTTTCCACCCATCTCTAACTCAGTATTCCCTGAGCCATAGATGCAGGAGTTGTGATGTAGATGCTTCTGTTGGGGCTGGGTTCCCTACTAATCCACTGATTAGTGCATTGTGTCCAATCGTTTTCTGGGATGTCTCCAATTGCAGTAAAGAGAGGCTTCATTGATGAGTGGTAGCTATACGGGTCTGTGGATATAAGGATTGGAATGTAGTAAGGAATTATGCTAGTCTACTAGAGTGGTGGTAATAGATTCTTTTCTCAAGACCGTGATCTCACTAATCCCAGGAAGCTGGCCAGATTTCCAGTACCGGGCATGATTTTCTTCCTATTGAATGGACCTTAAGTCCAATTAGACAGCCGATTGCCACCTACATATAGTGCTACTTCGTATACCTTTATGCATAGTTTGCCGTGTAGCAATGCGTTCTTGTTGAACTATCTTTGGATCGCCAGCCCCCAAATATCAACATGGTTATCCCACAATGTTGCCATGCTGGTGATTGCCGTAGTTCATAGGTGTTGTATCAGGGTAGGACTTTCTTTTCCTTTCCTTTCCTTTCCTTTCCTTTCCTTTCCTTCCCCTTTCTTTCTTTCTTTCTTTCTTTCTTTCTTTCTAATTTTTCGAGACAGGGTTTCGCTGTAGCTTTGGAGCCTGTCCTAAAACTAGCTCTTATAGACTAGACTGGCCTCAAACTCACAGAGATTCACCTGCCTCTGCCTCACAAGTACTAGGATTAAAGGCCTGCGTTGCCACTTCCTGGCCAGGGTAGGACTTTCTAACTGCTTCCCTTTTGGCATCTTGCATAGCATTTTCTGGAACCATTGAACTTAGACAGCAGGGAAGAGGCTTTCAGGTCAGATCCAGTTTGAATCATCCAAGTCCTGTGTCCTGTGTGTGTGATTTCTTCAGTAAAAGGGTGCTCACTCTAAACTCCTGAGAGGCAAAAGGGAGTCACGTGGACTATCTTACCAGTTTATTCAAGAGAGGAGTCTCATGTTTGATACCAGTGTTTTTGTTCACCTATGGTTCTTCTAAAGAGCATTTCCAGCTTAAGTACCTTAACTTCCTTTAATATGCATGTATGTGTATATATATATATATATATATGCATACATATACTTATATGCAGAGTGTATAATTTTATGTAAATCCAAAATAGTGACTCCTTGACACTTTATCAAACAACCTTGGTGTTATTTGTCTCTTGTTCCTCCTTTTTCTTTATTGACCTCCCCACCATCTCCCCAGTTGGAGGCCCTCACCATTGTTCTGTTTCCTACCACTTCATGTCATCTGTATCCTGCTATTCCCCTCCCTACATCCCTCTATGGTCCCTTTATACATACCTGGTTTCTATGGTTACTCCATGTTGTGTACTCACATCTGAGGATATGTGTAGTAGGAGCTTCGGGCTGTGTTCCTGCCACCTGGCTCCTGGCCGCCTGGCTAGCTTATGCCCCAAAATAACAACACACAAACTGTATTCATTTAAACAATGCCTGGCCCATTGTATCTATCTTCTTCTTGGCTAACTCTCATATCTTGGTTAACCCATATTTAGTAATCTGTGTAGCACCAGTCTTACCGAGAAAGATTCAGCATGTATGACCTGGCGGCTTGCTCCATCGCGTCTGCCCTGGAGAGGAGAGGCATGGCATCTGCCTCACTTCCTCTTCCTCCTAGCATTCTGTTCTGTTTACTCCACCCACCTATGTTCAAACCTATCAGGCCAAGCAGTTTCTTTATAATTAACCAATGAAAGCAACAGATTGATATATGACACTCCCACATCAGATATGGAGCAAGAAACTGCAGATGAAAGATAACATGAGGCTTTCTGGTCTCTAGGTCCATCCATTTACCTGCAAATGCCATGATTTTATATTTCTTTGCAGAGTAAAGAGTAGTACTGTGTTGTGTTGAGTAGTATGCTGTGTATATGCACAGCATTTTTATTATTCATTCATCTGTTGGCAGACTTTTAAGTTGTTTCCATTCCCTGGCTATTGTGAATAATGTAGCAATGAATATGGCTGAGCAAGTGTCTGTGGAGTAAGCTGTCCACTCCTTTGGGCATATGCCAGGGACTGGTATAGCTGGGTTTTATGGTAGATTATTTTTTGTTTGCTTATCTTTGGAGGATTCTTCATAGATTTCTTGAGTGCCTGTAGCAATTTGCATTCCCACCAACAGTGAGCATTTCCTCTTCCTGGACAAGCTCTGCAGGATGTTGTCAGTTGTTTTGTTGATCTTAGTCATTCTACTAGGGTGAGAGGAAATCTCAGAGTTGCTTTAATTTGCAGTTCCCTGATCGCTAATTATGATGAACACTTTGATCTATTTCTTAGTCCTTTTTATTTCTTAAACTGAGAACTGTGTTTTGATATCTAGCCTATTTCTAATTAGAACATTTATTTCTTTGACTCTGTGTCTTGAGGGATTTTTTTTCTATAGAGGTGTAATATGTAAGTATACTCAGTTTACAAAATGAGGCCCTCAGCCACTCTTCTTATTTATTTCACCCCGTGGTGGTCACATGATAATCTAGGACAGGGCAGAAGGGGAGGACAGCTGCATAAGTGCTTTTGTGTCTGGAGAGGCTGCAGTGCCTGGCCCTCGGGCCCAACAGTTCCCACCCAAGTAACTGTCCAGCCAGTGGTCTGGAACCCTGAGGCTGTGGTAACAGGTAAGCTGACAGGCAAGTTACAGGGCCCGGCGCCCTGTTTCCAGGAGCATGCTCTCTAGCTGCAGCTTGCTGTCACTCTATGTACGGCTAATGGAGCCACATGGACAGGTAGGTCAGGATGAGGTTGCGGTCAGCAGTGTGGGCCAGCTCAGCACCAATGGTGTGCTTCAGGAGGAGCTCCTTCTTGTATGCACTGGAGAGCCGGTGGGAGACCTCATAAAAGAAGGCCGTGGGCCATGTGTGAAACAAGGGGCCGGTTACTTTCTTCCCTGTAATGGTAATTTTCTAGTTCACAAATTCCCTTGGCGGTTGAAGACAGCTTTTCCATTTTCATTTGTATTTTAGTCAAGCCATCCAAGGTGACCTGCAGCTCCTCATATAGCGCTTCAAATTCCTTATCATATTCCAGATTCGTCTTCTCTCCCTTTTCACTGGAAGCTGGGCTGCTGCTCTCTAATTCAACCTTCTCTTTGCTCAATAAGCTGACTTCCTTTTTTTTTAAATATTTATTTATTATTTATACAATTTTCTGTCTGTGTGTATGCCTGCAGGCCAGAAGAGGGCACCAGACCCCATTACAGATGGTCGTGAGCCACCATGTGGTTGCTGGGAATTGAACTCAGGACCTTTGGAAGAGCAGGCAATGCTCTTAACCTCTGAGCCATCTCTCCAGCCCCAATAAGTTGACTTTCAAGTTGGCAATATTGCTCGCAGTGGTAAAACTGGCGTCATTGAGGCTTTCCCACTTCAGGATTAAGTTATGCCAATCAGCTACATTGTCCTTAATTTTCCTTGCACAGACAATAAGACAGGTTCCCTGGGTGTTGCAATTCCAAGAGTCTTTGCTTCCATGCAGTGCACAGGTAGATATCAACAAGGAGACCCCAGGATTTTTTTTTCTTTTCTGGATGTTAATCCTCTGCCAGATCTATAACTGGGAAAAGATTCTCTCCCATTCTATTGGATTCTTCTTCACTCAGTTGATTGTTGCTATACATTGAGTTTGTGTTTCATGCATGAAGTTGAGGTCTGTGCTCCACTTGGATCTAATTTTTGTATAAGACCATAGATATGGGTCTAATTTCATTC